CACTTCTATCATATAAAATGACGAAACGAAAACATATTATGAAAATAATATTTATTATACCATAACTACGTGTACATTGCTCGAATCAAGATCTGGTAGAGCAATCATGTATCAATCGATGGCGAAACCTGATTTACTGCGGGTTCGGTAAGGGAGCTAACTACTTTCGAAACTAGAAAGGGAAAATTCCGGAGGCCTGACACCAGATCCTTCATTCGTCACCACTCGGCCCTTTCCGTAACCTGCAAATAGTTCAACTAGCCAAGGATTAATACGACTTTCTCGCGAGTGCAACTCAATGTGATCTGTCAATACTGCCACACGGTTGTGTCGACGTTGGAGGGACCTGCGTATACTTCGAGTTATCTGAGGTTCCTACAAATAATGAATAAAGGAAACATTCGGAGGCACCAGACTTTTACTTCGAGACCACCATGAGTTCGATACATGAACGTTCGGCACAGCGGTGTTTGAATGAACATGTATAGTACTGATGATGACAAGCAGCATGGCAATCTCACCAGAACCCGCGTCCAGGATTGTGTGGGGATGGAGGATTCAACCACAGGACATATTAATGCTATGTAACGATGCCCTGTAATTTGGTGGAGGTGTCGTTGATATCGCCATAATCTGGGATCAATGGCGGATAATGATTTAATGAGTCAACACCAGTGGTGGTCCGATTAATTGAAATAATCGAAGATTGGTCGTAGTGGCTAAACGACCAAGGAATCCATCATAATTTCTCATAATCGAACACAAACAATTCTGGAACACTTGTTTTCATTAACAATATTTTTCCTATGGTTGGTTTTGTCTGTTACATTTCGTAAGCACTACAAGCTCGTTTCAAGTCATGATTGAATTTATCTTAATGATTCTAAGAAATTTATGTTCCTAACATACTAGTCATCCTTTAAAGATGTGAAATTTTGCCAAAAAAAAACCAAAAGAAGTACATGGTTTTTTCCCCTTATTTTTATGTGCATTAACAAATTATATAAATGACGCTAACCAATTATTTTCGATGATTGATCGGTAGTAATGAACCAATCATCAATTATGAGATTTTAACCAATTCCCAACACTAATCAACACACATGATCACGCATATCTGTGTCCATTATGTATCTTCGGCTCATCCTCCTTCCAACTGACATACCAGCATCATCTATGGTTAAAATACGCACACGCACACGCACACGCACACACGCACGCATAGAGGACACAGACGGGACAAGCCCCTTTGAAATCATACTGACAAATATCCATCTTAGGATTTCGAATGTCATAAGCATGTGTGTATGATTCACTATCAAAAGGTTATGATGCCAGGTCTTCGCGAACAGGTGGGTGTTTCCTGCTCTGTACCAGGGTACAAAACTATCAGTTCTGTAAAGCAGCTTGGATTATCCAGGGTAATAATGATCAGATTCTGCGCTTTTAGTAGGATATCAAGCCTGGAAAAGGCGCGTTATAAATATTCTCATTATCGTTGAGTGGCTGGAATTGTTCTGTTTTTCTTTGACGTCATGGTGTTTTCTGAAGGGCCTTTCCGTGAGCCTTTCAGTATTGCTCGATGACTTCCTGAAAGTCCACATATTTCCCTAAACGATTTTTCAGTGCGAAATCAGAGCAAAGGCAACTAGAATCAATAATTAAAGCTGATCATCTACATTCGATCAGCCAATGAGATATTAACATCTGCAAAGAGATAACATAAAATAGGTTTCTTTTAAATCAACTCGTATTCAACAGTTCAAAAATATGTACATTCCCTTGATATCATCACTACTGCAAACACCGTTTAACCAAGATATGTACAACTGGACTTCATCATGACCCTAACGTATCAAATAGAAAACCACACTGTATAACACTGATGTACGTTGGCGGTTGAAGACAAAGCAGTCAACCATCCGGGGTTCGATCTTCCACTCACTCACTCACTCAATCAAACACTCACTCACTCACTTACACATTACCTTCACGGGATGTCATTACGTTGTGTACCATCCAAGTGTAGAACCCATACCTCAGACATCCCGCCATACAGATACGGATACGGATATATTTACTCAGTAAATACATCTTGGAGAACGCCAACCATTTCGCGAACACCTGGTGTCATCCCTGATTTTAAGTGCCCCATTAATATGCTATTTTAACTATTTCGCCTTTTACGCCTAATTGATTCTCTTTCAACTCTGATTACTCTCTCGATTGACGTTTTGAATTCCACTGTTTCCACTTTGAATTCCCTGCTTGTGCGATGTTTGTTGAATGGAAAATACCTTCCGGGTGATCATAATGGACCAGCAAACAGTGTTTCTATGGAAACACGGACATTATTTCCTCATAACACCCCGGGTGATCAATAAATACAACAGTGCCTGTATTACAGTAACTCGCTATATATATAAAAAGTAATACAGGTGACCTTTATGTATTCACTCGCTACAGATCGAGACTTTATCAACAGTGCGATAGTGATGTCCGCCAAACTGACCTAACCGTGGCTCTGTTACTATTTCGTTGACATGGTCACCTGGTTGAATGTTATTACAATGACTAATGTGTACAGAATTATCGGGCTACCCGTGTACGACAATATTTTGAAAAAACAGCAATAGCAAAGGCAATGACAAAGGTACTGTTTTGTGATAGGCCCATCTATAGGTATTTTCGACTCCAATACATTGATTGCGTAAACACATGAATGTAATAGCGTTCGAAATACGCGCTTGCGTGGATCTCGTCGGACTTGTACACACATTATGACCCGATGGAGGTGTACAGGTAGATTCAGTAATGTCAATAAACAACATTTTTGAAACAAGGGACTGAAGACGAATATTTTTGTAATGTCATACCATGGCATATGCACTTCTGGGTAGCTATTCTCGAAACGTTCGTAGCCCTACGAACTTCTTAAGCCCATTCTTAACACATTGGCTACGATCAAAGTTAAGAATTCTTAGGGCTACGAACGTTTCGAGAATAAGGGCCCTGGTGAATGAAACATTCATAAAAACAGTCTGGTATCTAAAGTGAGTATGACACTGTCGCGGGGAAACCCTTCATCAGTCAAAACAGTCCTGACAAAAGAAAGTCAAGTTCCAAAGACATGAAACTGTAATTAGAAAAAAGAAACAGACATCGTTTGAAGTATCTCTTATCACTAACAGCGTTCTTCTGAGCTGTCGCTGAGCGCGAATTACCGTAGATCCCCTTCATAAGTACTCGGTGAAGGTTTGTTCTGTGAGCACCATGGACACACTGACAGGGGGCTTGTGAAAGTAATGTTAATATATAACGCCAACGCTCGGCAGTAACTGGTGTCAATTATCCACCGAAACAGATTCAGTGAGGGATAGAAAGGCCAACTAGCATGTAATCCGAGAAGGGACATTGTCGCGTTGTCGCATTGTCGCCCTCTAAAAAACAAATAAAATGAGGCAAAATAAACCAAAACGCGACACGCGACAACGCGACTTTTCGCTCATTTGTCGCATTGTCGCGTGTCGCGTTTTGGTTAATTTTGCCTCATTTTGCTTGTATTTGAGAGGGCGACAACGCGACAATGCGACAACGCGACAATGTTCCTTCCAGGATTCCATAAACTAGTCATGAAAACTAAAACAGTAATGACACAGAGTCCCTATCCTCAAAGAGTTCGTAACGTTACGACAATAGTTTATCATGGACAGCACCCGTCATTGTTGCTCACAAGTCAAACCCCAAATGGACGGAAAGCTTTAACCATCTAGTATTGAAAGTCCGACTTAGTGACGGGTGCCGCTGGTGGGGCAAGATACGCTCACCTTTCGCCAACACCTGGTATCATCACAATGATGATGATTCATAAACACCTGATATAGGCGCAATTGTACAACGGACTCTATTTAAAGTTGAATTTCTTTATGGTTATAGCCATGTTCGTGGCTCTCTATTTGTGGTATTGTCTCTTTCATATACAAAATGACAGACGGCGGTCCGTAAATAACCGAGTGGGGACCAGACAATCCAGTGATTAACAGCATGAGCATCGATCTACGCTATTGGGATACGATGACATGTGTCAACCAAGTCAGCGAGCCTGACCACCCGATCCCGCAAGTCGCCTTTTTTCATCCTCCCTTGACAAGTACTCCTTTACTGACAGGACTCTCCCTGACCTACACATGGCTGTACACTCGTGCAGTATGTCCAATCGATATAAACAGACAATACACGACCCTGAACAAAAGTATCTAAGTGAGTGACTTCTCGCGGACAATGAAGTAGCTCTTAATAGATAATTATTGTTTGCATTATATTCTATGACCAATCCTGGCTTTTACAATTTATTAATTGATACTTATATTTGTCTACATAAAACATCAACCTGAAACTGTTTAATGAGTGTTCTTTTCCAGTGAGGCGATCGATGACAGGACGAAATCATTGCAAACATGTGTGTTTTCTGGTGCTATAGCCATTACAAAAGGCCTGAACGAAAACAAAATATATTCCCAGTTATGTAATTAACAGTGATTCTAGATTGTTTTAAATGGAAAATGAAAAAACAAACATTTTCCAACATTTGCTACTACATGTCTACAATAGGAAACTAGCTTTCTAACGTTGACGTATGGCAATATGTTCAATTTTCAATTTTTGAAAAGCGAAAATATAATGCAAATGTTTATCGTTTCTTTTTTTCCCATTTACCAATTTATGATTTTTCATTAGAATATCTCTGAATAAATAATATAAAATACCACCAGGATTAGAACAGAGATATTATTGTGTCTTTAAATTATAACCTTTATTACAAATCAAAGACTCACTCTTATAAATCACACAGTAATTTATACGTAGAAGACGAGTATATCACCTGAAGAAGGGGCAAGAAGTAGCCCAGAAACGTCGTGTTATACAATAAAGAAAAAGTTGCCATCCATATACTCGTCTTATTTATTCACCAACTTCTAAATGCCTCTCAAGAATCTCACTTTTAAAGAAGTTGTATAAAAAACAAAAGCTCTGGTACAGGTTTGAACCCAAGCAGAAAACGCAACATGGTTCCGATGACAACGCAGCTGTTCGAAAATTTCGTACGAGTCGTGCATTTTATAAAACGTGAAAAACTTATTTCTGGGACATTGGTCTAAATGCACCTGATTGATTGCGGCATAAACACCGATGTTGTACAAAGCAAGTATGCAGTAACTAAGAAATAAAACACCACGAATATGCAAAGGCTTACGCAAGTGCAAGGAGACAGGGCGAACATGGAAAATGATTTCTGTTTGTACATTAATTATCATAAATCTTACAAACGTCTTTGTTTCTATTTCTTGGTAAGGGAAGTCTTTCTTTTGCCAGGTAGTTTACTTGGAATCTGCTTCAAAATCAAATCGTAACCCCCCTGGAGTCTAGTTCGAAAATTACCTCCCTTGAGTTTACGTCTCAGTTAAGGAGTAATCTCCCTTGAACCCACTTGAGTCCTGTCCGGAGGTCGTCTTAGCAAAGACTTCCCATCGTTTCTACTTTTAAGTCTTCTCAAAGACTAACTCTAATAAGAGAGCTGCCTCCTGGTACCTTCTAAATCAAAGAGGTCTTCCCCGAAATTTAGAATAACCAATCTAGGTCGATAATAAAGCGTAATCACATCTACTTCTAGAATAATACCTCCCTGAATTTAACTTCCTAATCAAGGGGGTACTCCTGAGTGTTCATGCCACGTTTAACGGTATTCAGGTTATACCACTGGTGAAACCACAAACAGGTGGCATACTACTACAAGGTACTACAAGCTTACATTAGTCTAGAGAAGATTCTCACTGACCGATGACCGTACCTAAAGCCAATGCCTTTTAGCTGTTCAAGAAGTAGATTCCTGCAGCCTTGCAGCAAAGGTACACAGCCCTTTTCAACAAGCTGCTCCCTTGCTACCCACCACAAAAACAACACAGAAGACGATACACAGATGCGATATTTCAATCTGTGGCGTTACATAGTCAACAGGATATAATGATTTTCTTCAAGGAATTCATCCTTAACCATTACTTTGATATAAAACATACACACCCACCGCACGTGAACTTGCACAAAGACACCCACGCACAAACATGTATAATTTGGCAAACCAGTGTTCAGTCATCTGACCCTGTTCCGACAGGTTTCTATTCCCTTTCAAGGGATATTACGTATTGGGGGAAAACGTAGTTTACAAAAGAAAAGTAAACATATCTTATTCTGTTCTACTCCCAGCGTTCCGTGTATATACTATATCTGTCTTTGTCCACATAGTCAGCAGCATTGATCCAAAAATTGGCAATCCACTTTTCTCCATTCCTGACATTACATCCGCCATGAAGAGACCGTCTGTGCAGTGGCCCGATCCAGCCAGTCTGCAAACACAAACACGACACTCTTGAACACGGTACCGTGTCAATAACCATTGTTCATACCAGGAAACGTATTAAAATCCCACTTCGTTATATTGATCTCACCTTCTGTCAAATACTCAGTCTTTACGTTGTGTAAACGTTTGTTCTCCCCCCGACAGGCAGTTCCTGTCCGACAGTACTTGGGGATTATAAATAGCGACTGACGTTCATTTAGAGTCCAAAGTGATTCTAACGTTACAATTATTAAACAATACATATATTACTCAAAGCTGTAGGTACGAGGAGATCGTCATGCTTTGTTGATGAGGCGGTGGGGTAGCCTAGTGGTTAAAGCGTTCGCTCGACACGCCGAAGGCCCGGGTTCGATTCCCCACTTGGATACAAAGCGTGAAGCCCATTCCTGGTGTCACCTGCTGTGATGTTGCTGGAATATTGCTAAAAGCGGCGTAAAACTAAACTCACTCACCCATGCTACGATGATCGCAACTGCCTCAGCTAAACACATTCTTATGATCACTTTACGCGAGAAGGACGGGTATTCGTTCCAACAATATTAGTGCTACAATGATCGTACTTCGCATATCCTTACACGTTTAGGACGGCTACTATTAGGATGGGACTTCGTTGAACATAACGATGCTTGTTTACGCATATTTTTCATCATATATACTGACGTACAAAAGAAAGTATACATCTGGGTTTTTTTATATTATTTTCGAAAAGAACGACGTAACTATTTTGCAATGTATTTTTATTGTGACTTATGTGTCACATTGTGTACGAAAACCCTTTTCAGTGTTGTGCGTAGGATATCATGAAAATCATGAATCTGTTCAATCGTTGTTATGCGCCAACAGTACAAAACACATTCGATAGAAATTGTTAGTGGTATGCCTGTTTAAGGCACACATCACAAGGCCAGTAATTTTATCAGCAGTGGAGCAAGAATGAGCCACTGGAGATGGGGGTTTCGAGCAGCCAGTTGCGAGAACGTTCGGCTGTACAGGGCGGACTATCATCAGACAAATTAGATGCGTCCATCAGGCTGGCCAGATATCTGAAAGTCCCAGAACTGGAGGACCGTGAGATGACCAGCACCTGGGTAATTTCCATCTGCTCATAGTGACGTCATCATCATCGTCATCATCATCATCATCATCATCATCATCATCATCATCGTTGATTCACCGCATCAGCAAAATCACAGGAATGATACTGGTGCGTGCTGTCGACATCAGTGCCTATTGACCATTTCGGGGTATGTGATGAACCTTTCAACATTGACTTAATCTTCTACGTTGGGAACGGGTTACTATGGCAACGTCGCAAGTAGGTACGGACCTGTGGTGTTTTGGCAGCACGTATAGAATGTTTGTGACTTGCAAGTCACAATCAAAACACTTTTCAAAATATTTATGTTGTTGTTGTTTTAAATATTCCCATAGCACCAGGTGAGTACCTTCGTTTATACGTCAGTTCATTTGTTACACACCTACGATTGTCTTAGCACTACGACCGGACTTACGACGTAGAAGGAGAACTTTGTCTGAACACGACTAATGTTATCAACTCAATCATTAAATATGGTGCATCATTACTCACCTTCTCCTCCTTATAATGATTGTACCACATGACCGCCTTGCCCATCTCCGGGGTCACGGCGACAGGTGCACGGTGACAATTTTCCGTCAGGTTAGTGTGTTCTTTCTGTAAAATGATTTACAAGCACATATATATATTCTGAAATGTCAGCGAGGTTACATTTTCAGATTCATGTTCCCCATAGCGAATAACACGCCACGCCTTTCTACCCCACGTGAACATGCAGCCACTACAAAAGACATTAACCACTTAGCCTTGAATTTGATGTTTATATTGCTCAATGTTCAATTAAAAACAATGTCCATAATTATTGGAAATTTCTTATTCCCACTATATCACCCACCTATTCCTACTTTATGACATACTATACAACACCAGTGGGAAGCGGTGAAGGTATTCTGACCCATCTGTGTAGCCATCATAAACACATGCACAGGCAAGTCAATTGTTCACACGGAAGCACAAAGTCATTCTAGTCAGACTGGGGAGTTGCATCAGACATCCAGGCAAGAATTATAGATGTCAACTTCTCTATTTTGAAAATAATGACGTTGACATCCATACAATTCATGCCTATTTGTGTATCATCTCTAGTTTGTCACTGTTGAGTCACATGTGTAAAACATCTTCCGCATGTTGATCGCAATCATAATGTTATAGAGTTGTAAACCCGTGAAGGTCCGGGTTAGAATATTGATCATCCGTAACCCATGCTTGTCGTAAGAGGCGGCTAACGGGATCGGGTGGTCAGGCTCGCTGGCTTGGTTGACACATGTCATCGGTTCCCAATTGCGCAGAGTGGTTCTCATGCTGTTGATCACTGGGTTGTCTGGTCCAGACTGGATTATTTCCAGACCGCCGCCATATAGCAGGAATATTGCTGAGTGTGGCGTAAAACTAAACTCACTCACTACAGAGTTGTACTAACGCGTTGTATCTACTACAGTAACCATCAACAGAAAGGTCACCGATCCATTTGGTCGGCTCGTACTTGTAAGTACTGTCGTGTCCTGTAACGCGGAGTCACAGGGTGTGCCTTGAGATCAGTGTTCATAGAAGGGTTTTATGGAACACACAACATACAAAATGTTTGAGGGGGGCACATTCTAAGAGACGTTAAGCACGATTTTGTTTGTGTTTATACTCATGTTTGCTCTGACTGCGAGTAAACATAACATTACACTGGCATAGCGTATGTGTGTAGAAAGTACTGTTACCGATATTCTGAAATCGTGATCCTCGTCTGCGACAGGGAATGCTGTTTCTCCCCCCTCCTCGACGTCATTCAGATACACCAGCACCGTCAGATATCTGCAACGACGACCGCAACTTTCTTACGTTACAATAGATGTGTAAAATGCAGGCATAATTAATCTATTATGATGTTTTAAAGCAAATAAATGCACAAAGAGAGAGAGACAGACAGAGAGAGAGAGAGAGAGAGTCAGGGGGGACACTGGGTAACCAATCTTTGGGCCAACTGAGTGCAAGAGTTGGGTTTTACGCCCCTTTTAGCAATTTTCCAGCAATATCACGACCGCGGACGCCCATAATGACGTGTGGTTTGTGGGGAATCGACCTCGGGGCTTCGGCGTGTCGAGCTACCGCTTTAATCACTGGGCTACTCCTTGGGAGTCAAACTCGAGTCCCAGTTTAAACCACAGCGCTACACCACCTCCTGTTGCGATGTATAGTAGAAATTCACTTTGTGGAATGGGCGAGGTCGTAAACACCATTTCTCTGTATTGGACAATGACAGCGTCGTAGAGAAAGTACTCCGTGAACGACGTTACACGGCGAATCGTCTCTTACATGGTGTCGTGTAGAAAACTGTTGGCCAGGTCTCCAAGTGTTTAGCTATATGAGTACGAATGGCGTGTTTAACGCTTCCATGGGATCGGAACAAGATGACACCGAGACAAACCACTCGTTAGCCGGTGGCAGTCATGTGTTATTTGGTACTAATACTAAACTGGAACAATCACGGGGAACAATGCGGTAATAAATCTTATCTTATAACACATGTGTTTGATGGTGGATAAAGAAATTATAAACTGTTGTGATACAGATAACAGTTGTATTTTAGACCTTGGTCAGTTGGCAGTGTTTTGGCGTTGTTTTTAGCTCAGTAACGTTTTGTTTTGTTTCTTTAGGGTTGTTGTTTGATCTTTATTGTTAAATCTAAGCTAACATTATCCAGGCAATTTAATATAGATTCTGACTGCCTAGACAAGACACTGGTAACATAACCAGTATGTACTACCTACCTACACAGGACACTGGTAACACAACCAGTATGCACTGCCTACCTACACAGGACACAGGTAACACAACCAGTATGCACTGCCTACCTACACAGGACACAGGTAACACAACCAGTATGTACTGCCTACCTACACAGGACACAGGTAACACAACCAGTATGCACTGCCTACCTACACAGGACACAGGTAACACAACCAGTATGCACTGCCTACCTACACAGGACACAGGTAACACAACCAGTATGCACTGCCTACGTACACAGGACACAGCGGTGTTTGGTGTGAGGGAACCAGGTGTGGTGACAGCATGGCTTCCCCTGTCCCACATGCCTGGAACTGTCGTAGTGGCTGTGGTAGTGTCCACCTTCTGTGTACATCACCACCTGGGAGGAGAAGACATCAGCATTACATGCTATTTACATATACCCATTGTAGGATGATGCACAATCACACACTGTGTCCATGCGACCCATTACTACAAGAACAGGGTGCTGGGGGTCTGTTCTGTCCGGGGATTAGTAGCTATACCTGCACAGGTTAATAACCCCACCCCATCACCTGCACATGTTATCTACCCCACCCCCTCACCTGCACAGGTTAATAACCCCACCCCATCCCCTGCACAGGTTATCTACCCCACCCCTCACCTGCACAGGTTATCTACCCCACCCCTCACCTGTACAGGTTAATAACCCCACCCCTCACCTGCACAGGTTATCTACCCCACCCCTCACCTGTACAGGTGACTATCCCACCCACACAACTGCACATGTTATCTTTCCCTCCCCTCACCTGCACCAGTTAACTATCCCACCCGCTCACCTGCACATGTTAACTATCCCACCCCTCACCTGCACATGTTATCTATCCCATCCCTCACCTGCACCAGTTAACTATCCCTCCCCTCACCTGCACATGTTATCTACCCCTTCACCTCACCTGCACAGGTTAATAACCCATACCCCTCGCCTGCACAGGTTCACTACCCCACCACCCTCACCTATACAGGTTCACTACCCCACCCTGTCACCTGCACGGGTTAATAACCCAACCCCCTCATCTGTACAGGTTCACTACCCCACCCCTCATCTGCACAGGTTCACTACCCCACCCCTCACCTGCACATGTTAACCACCCCACCCCTCACCTGCACAGTTTCACTACCCCACCCCCTTACCTATACAGGTTCACTACCCCACCCTGTCACCTGCACGGGTTAATAACCCCACCCCCTCATCTGTACAGGTTCACTACCCCACCCCTCACCTGCACAGGTTCACTACCCCACCCCTCAACTGCACAGTTTCACTATCCCACCCCTCACCTATACAGGTTCACTACCCCACCCCCCTCACCTGCACAGTTTCACTACCCCACCCCCTCGCTTGCACATGTTAACCACTCCCACCCCTCACCTGCACATGTTAACTCACCCCACCCCGTCACCTGCACATGTTAACTACTCCCACCCCTCACCTATACAGGTTCACTACCCCACCCCCCTCACCTGCACAGGTTATCTACCCCTTCACCTCACTTGCACAGGTTAATAACCCCACCCCTCACCTGTACAGGCTCACTAACCCCACCCACACCACACCCCCGTCACCTGCACAGGTTCACTACCCCACCCCTCATCTGTACAGGTTCACTACCCCACCCCCTAATCTGTACAGGTTCACTACCCCACCACCTCACCTGTACAGGTTCACTACCCCACCCCCTCATCTGTACAGGTTCACTACCCCGACCCCTCACCTGCACAGGTTCACTCTCCAGAACAAGGTCGAGGGGGATTCCGGTCAGTACTGATATCCTGAAACATGAAAACAAAACCTGTACAGTAACGCACACAGTATACAGCAACGTCCTCACTGTATTTCCCCAACAGTTGCCAGTGTTGACAATAATGACAATATTACCCACCTGGGTTGAATAATAACAATTATCTTATATGCGAATTTAGGTGATCCCGAAAAGCCAAGTGTTATGGAGTCATATGGTCTTAAACCATTAAGTGTATCTTTGCCTCTGGATATTACCTTAACATGTTGAGTGCGTTGAATTTACGCCGCCTTGAAAAGTATATAATGGCGTGTGAAGTTAATGACAAGAAGATCCAGACCGTCGCGGATACAAACAGCACGAGTGCAGTTATATGTTGACATAACTCGAGTGAACCAACGAATCGAACCCAAGACCAAGGATCATGGCAGCTACGTCAGACGCATTCATATACCTCTACAAGTGAGTGCATGGGTCACCTACTATTTGGTAATGGGCCTATATTCAGTTTAAAGAACGGCTGCGTATAAATAATCGAATCTGGGCAGGTAGAACACTGACTGAGAGCATGAGCACCAATCAACGCCATTATGGAGCAAGGTCTTCAAGATATTGTAAACCCTACCTACCCCATCCCATCATCAACCAACACCCACCCACAATACAAGTGCCATGGCTGTCGCCCGCCCCACTGTGTTGTGATACGTGGTAGTCACGTGAACGTGTGAAACTAGTGAATCCAGTTTGTATATGGATTCATCCCAATGTTAGCCGACAGATTCCATGGGAGTAAGGTGAGCCCAATGCGACAGAATGGAGTTCTACATGCATGTCGCAAATACCTGAGAATATTGTATTATCCGGGTCAAACAGAAGCACGCCGGTGTTCGATACTCTCTGAATCCGCCATGGTCTCGTTTTAAATCCCATTTCCTGGATACTATTATTGAGAGATATCAATAACTATACAGTGAATAGACACTTTGAACAAACAGTCCGCTTTAGTTTCAAAACTCTTATGAATTTCTATTGTCATGGTTCCGTGAACAAAAGCCTTTGGGAAGACTCCTACATTGATCTCGTAGCGGTGTAAATTGTAGTAATGGCGTCCTATTGTTAGAACAAAACATGGTGTTCGTGTTACTGTTGAATTACTGGAAATTGTCTTCCTTTGATCGGCAAACATTAGATAAAATAGACAGAAGCGAAACACAAGCGTGACTTTTGTATCTGCCATTATTGACAAAATTATTAGAAAGCGTGATACCCACGTGATAACGTATAATTTACTCGAGCGAACTAAGCACACGAACACTGTTCTACCTCGACTTGTTCATGTCAAATACCGCAGGAAGATTTGAGTTGAACAAAATTGCAATGCTTTTGACTTTTTGTTGCTTTTAATTATGTTTTAAAATTTAATCACGACGCTTGAGAATGTTTACATATCTATTATGTGATGCAATTTCAAATTGACAAAGAGACATTTGTCTCGAACATAAATCCCGAATCCCGAATTCGACCTTTAAAGACTTGTGTTTATTTATATATACTTGTTCAGTTGATGGCATGCTTCCCACAGTTTAGAAAGGTGTAGCGGAAGACGTTATGTCACGGTTCTGTAGCTCACTTGGATATTTTTCTAACTGCTCAAACTGTTAACAAGACAATATGTTTGTCAATGCCGGCATTTCAGTGATTTCAATATTCATATTGCGGATTGTCTGGCTCGCTATTGATTCCTGTTTCTAACCATCGACAGAGGAGGTAATTCTGGATGGACGACAGCAAGTATTTGAGAGACAGACAGCCTGCTTAGCGCAGCAAACCCAGGATCAGAACAGGCTTGAAAGGAAGACGGCTCTACTCGTTGGACCACGGTGAATTCCTACATTGGATGAGACCTGCCAGATACAGACAACAAACCGGCTTGTGTCGGGTACCTCAAGGTCAAGAGCATTCGCTGCTTGCCGTGAGGGTGATTCTGCGTCATTGAACCAGATGGCGTGAGTTGGCGTTCATTGTTTCAGTCACAGAGTTGCCTCGTTCAGACAAAAGTATTTACAGTCAAACGTTCCTCGTTTCTAGTGAGGTGTGAAAACAACATTTAACCATCTAACATAATGTATGAACTTGAGCAGCAACAGTAATTTAGTATCTAGAAGCAACGTCTACATGTTCCCGAGTGCAGGGGAAGCCTGTTGATTTAAATTATTTATTTTCCTTAAACCTACTGATCACAAAAGTGTATGTAATAAAGCAATATAATAGTGTTGGTATCTGGTTTTGTTTGCTTGTGTGCTTGTTTGTTGTTTAACACCGCACTCCTATATGGTGGCGGTCTGTAAATAATCGAGTCTGGACTAGACAATCCAGTGATCAGCATCATGAACATCGTTTTACGCAACTGGGATACGATGCAATGTGTCAACCAAGTCAGCGTGCCTGACCACCCGATCCCGTTAGTCGCCTCATAGGGCAAGCATTTGTTGCTGAAGACCGATTTTGTCCCGGGTCCTCACGGGTTGGTATATTGTAGGTAACTGTTCGTGGTGAACTATAGGCTGTTCGGTAGTAATGACGGTTTGATAGTATTATAGGTGGATTCGTATTTTAGGTGTCCCGAGATTAGTCACATCACCGCCTTGACTACTTCATGTCTGTCGGGAAAAAGAACCGAAAGAGCATCGTCAGAGCAGGCCACTGTCTGTCAGAAGTCGAACTAGTCTTCCTTACCGCAGGAACCTCTTTTGCAGACATCTACACACGAGGAAAATTGTAAACTCGGATAACTGTCCATCATTCATCTAAATCGTTCATTTACCGGAAGTATTCCCAGCCGACCTTGACCTTCACTCCAACACATCAAACTGACACGCCATGTTTTAGCAGAAATAGTGATGTTCCGTCCAACTTACTCTGTTGTCTAGATAATGAAATACATTTACATATTCGAGTTATCTGTATGCTATTATTTTTTTAAGCAAATGTTCTCACAACTTCTGGAAATGTTGGTTCATCTGTTTTAGCAAATACCCAAACTGTTCTCCCACCTGTGCCGTATAAACAGCAGATGACGTCCACCGCTGACGAAGGCAGTCTGCGCTACCCGTCCTGAAGCCTGGTCGCTGGTCTTGGCCTGCTGGGCCCCCATCTGCCTCGCCCCGCGGAGACCCCGCGCTCTGGCCTGGCTGATAATCAGGGAACACTCTTTTGTAGTCAGAAATCCAGGAATCTCTGTCAAAATGGAGGGGCGCCACCTAAATAAGTCAGTTTCTCTCACTGTGTGCCAGCATATGTAGGATTAATAATGACACTGATAGCCTAAAGTGATGCAATTATTTCGGGTGAAACAACAAATAGTCAACGAACATGGTGTTTGGATCAGTGTGTTCTCAGTACCAGGCGAAATGCTTTCTATAGCACCTCTATGGCTCTCTGGCGTCCAGTTCGCGGACGTGGTGTTTCGCCGTTTGGATCTATGTGTTAAATTCTGTAACAGGCAAAATGCTTTCTATAATACAACTATAAGGCTGTTCAGTTTACGGATCTGCGTGTTGTATTACGTAACAAGCGAAACGTTTTCCATAGCACCTCAAGGACTGACTGACTGAGTTTGGTTTTACGCCGCTTTTAGCAATATTCCAGCAATATCACGGCGGGGGACACCAGAAATGGGCTTCACTCATTGTACCCATATGGGGATTCGAACCTGGGTCTTCGGCGTGACGAGCCAACGCTTTAACCACTAGACTACCCCACCGCCCCAGCACCTCAAGGACTTTCTACCAGATCCAGTGTTTCGCTGCGACGGCATGGGTGTTCTGTTCTCATACAGTTTTATGCTGTTTATCAATAAATTCGCCAGAGCAGATTTCCATACAAACAAGCTTTGGAGTAGATTTCCATACAAACAAGTTTTTTTCCCAATTGCTTTCAGAGATCTTATAGATCTGTTATCTGCATCAAGCCTGCGTGTAATTCCTGAAAGGTAATCTTGTGAAAATAGACGCTAATTAAGAATCGATGTTATCCCTTGAAATATGAGATATTACCGCCGATCAGAATGTCAGGTCAATAGCGTTGGCACAATAGTCGTATTTATATTACAGTCTTAATATCCCCATAGCCCGTTTTAAGTCAATTCTGCATAATTACGTTTACCTGTCAATCAATAATATAACCTTGAAAACAGTCTGCAGTTCAGTTATGTTGTTATTGGTAACATAATTTATATGGAAAAAAACTGAAAACGAAATATCGTATATATCCGGCGCCATGGTAACATAAAAACGGCCTTGTTGTCACATTTACTTGCTGATGCATACCAACCTCAAATGCGCCCGTTGTAATGTTATTTATTATTCATATGGTTCAATATTAGCGATAAATAAACACATGTCAAAACTTAGGATATAAATATATTCTGTGGGGATTTTTTACCAAAGATTAGTACCCAGTATATTTTAACCGCGCTACCCGAACGCGCAGCGTACAAATCCGACCGTCAAGTCAACCTGTACAGGTGACGGGTTGGGATAGCTAATGATAAACCTCTGAATGACCAACTAGAATCTCATAGCTTCACAATACATGTATGTGATATAATCATGTGTATACGAGCTACAAGGCATTTAGATTGCCTCGTAGAACATAATTGTGCACGTGATGTGTTTACTGACGTAAGTGATAATGACGTCACAGCCATGATGACGTCAAGTTCACATAGCGCTCATGAAATGGTGTATATGTGCAATGTGGAAATTACTACTTTTTCTAGATTTATGTAATTTTCCGATCACTAGCTTGATACACCTATAAAAATATGTTTTCTAATATGTCTATAAATACTGTACTATGGGACACAAGGCCAAAAATACCGAAATCTCAAATTTCAAAAATCTATACTAGTACCCCTCCCGATGGACGTTTCGAAAAATCGACACCCAAACCTATCTTATCATCTGTACATGTGGCAAGATCTTAGGAAAATTGTATTTCTCGGCAATTTGCTTGGCTGACTTTTGTCCATTCTTACGAAAGAATTATATTGCTGCATGGGGACCTATTTGACAACCCGGAATCGTTGAGGTTGTGTAGGTGTAAAGTAGCTCACCAAAGACCGGTGGGTTCTGTGCCAACGTATGCCGCCAATGCGTGATGCCCGGATGTGACTGTATCCGCACTTTGCTTCCGGTCTGTTAAAGACACAGGAAACGATGCTTACAGCATTTATAGTGATTATCAAGGTACCACATAGACTAACATATGCTCAACATTTTTAGAAACTTCATATATTTGGTTACATTTGTGTGTATGCGTGTGTGCAGTGGAGACTAGAAATGGGCTTCACACAGTTGTTCAGATGTAGAGTTGCAGGACAAACCAATGTCCGCAGGTATCAAAGCTAGACGACCATACACAGAGCCTCGTGACACATTTTCATCGTGTCCGACGTTAACCATGGGTCCGTAGACATGCCAGATTCAAGCAGAGGAACAGGATCGTTGGCCCGAACGTCATGCGTTATTATTCCAATAATATGCTGCTATCCAAAGTTTGTAATTTGGCTGAGTAGTTCATCTGAAAGCCCGGAATGACTAAACAGAAGAATTTTGTTCCAGTAAAATCCATCATCGGTTATAATAAACAATCAAAGATATTTTATCTCACCGATGATCCAAGTGGTGAGGAAGCCTATTGGTTAAAGCCTGCGCTCGTCACGCTGAAGACCCGGGTTTGATTCCCCACATGGGTACAATGTATGAAGCCCATTTCTGTTGTCTGGGACCGCGATATTGCGGGAATATTGCTAAACGCGGCTTAAAACAAAACTCTCTCATTCACTCCAAGTGAGCCTTTTGCATCGCGTGTCTCCGTGTTCGTTTCTACTCTTCGCGATTACACCCAGCTAGTGTGTACGAGAACCCTTGTTCATTGCAACAATGTTGCTGTTACGTTGAGATTTCTGTTTTTCCAGCTCACCATGGGAAAAATCACAAAGGCATTAGTTCGTAACACATGTGACTGACTGACTTAGTTTTACGCCGCTTTTAGCAATATTCCAGCAATATCACGGCGGGGGACACCAGAAATGGGCTTAACACATTGTGCCCATGTGGGGATTCGAACCCGGGTCTTCGGCGTGACGAGCCAACGGTTTAACCACTAGGCTACCCCACCGCCCCCGTAACACATGTGAAGTAGCAGCATGCTTATGCTATCGGTACAGGAAAATAATACTCTCTTTGCATCTTATTTATAACATAGACAGACACAAAACAAAATATACAACCCTGATAAAAACGATAAAATCACCTACATGTTGATACTCAGAAATGTTCTGTTTAGATCCCAGTTTGGTGGCTCATGGGTGTTTCAGACAGTGATAACCAAGTATTTTCTGCATTCTTTCTCAATATTGTAATGACAATACCCAAATTGATCAGAACAACGAACAAGTTCATGACGTCACCCTCTAATGTGTTGTTAAATGTGAGATATGTTTAACATTTATCACCATTAATCGATGCATTTTACTTCCCTTAAAGTTCAATATGCGGTATGACGAAAGAAGTGTAGCTGAATTGAACAATCAATGCATTATTGTCATACATAATATACATTAAGTTACCGACTATTTCCCACGCAGATAAGAAAAAACGGCTTCGTCTCACAAAACATTGTAAAATATTGTAAATATAGAACGTCAGTGCAAAAGGATACCCAGACTATCCTGATATCAGATTCCATTTGGTGTAAAAGGTGAAAATAATGTGAACAGACCACTGAAAACCAGTGGTGACACCAGGGGTTCACGAAAAGAGTAAGCATCTCCTGTTCCGCCCGTGGCACCATTCACACAACTTGTCTTAACATTCTAAATACAACCGGATGACACATAGCAGTACACCTGTCGTGCGACAGCGGCCTATAAACAAACCAGACAATCAAGTGATCGATGAACCAGAAAATACAGCTGTTAATGTTGAATTACGGCACTCTTGAGAAGGGGGGGCTGTCGGGTGGGTTGTTGTTTGCACACTTCAATTTCACCCGTTTTCACGAGAGTTTCAATGGCATTTTAATAAACTTTCAGGACGGGTGGAGTGGGGTGGAGGGGTATGTTGCCCTCTGGATCCGCCTATGCAACAAAAATATTATTTTGCAGTTGACAAATGATAAATACTACTGAGCTCGTGTAAAAACTTCGGGGCTTGATTCCAGCAGCAAAGGCATCGACCCAGTTCAAGTGAATCTGAAATGTCAGTGCGAAAGAATACCCAGTCTTAACTATCCTTAAACTAGATACACTCTGAGGGCAGTTAGAAGTTGGACGAACAAGAATATATACTCATGCCAATAATGGCTGTCACCCCCTTCAATTATTTTTATTGGAGAGGGTGTGTGAGGTGGGGTTTGGGTGGGGAGGGGGGTGACAACCATTATTGGCATGAGTATATGTGCAGGACACCTTTTACGGATGGCAGTTTCATTTTACAGTGTGATACGTATTTACATACTGGGGGCGGCTATACCACATGCTGTCGCTCAAAATATCTTCTCTTTTTATTAATTTCGTTAAAAAGTCGGCTCTTTTGTAACTCGTGACTTACTCTGTATGATTATAATTACGAATAATAATCATAATAATTATCACTCGAACTCTCTTATTTTATTCTGTATTTTTTATATAATATAAATAGTAAAAATAGCAACACTTTTGGTAATGATGATGATGATAATGGCGATGAGAAGGATGATGATGATGATGTAATGATAAAAGGTAAAAGATAATTCGTTTTAAAAAATAGTACGAACCTTTCCTGGCCTGATCCAAGGCAAAACATAATCCCTGATTGTCGGTAATTTGCACTGACGAAGAATGAAGGAATATTGCTCGGGTTTCTCACATGTATTTACGGTAGCGTTCCTTTGCACGCGCTGACGACATGTACAGCATCACCCAAGCGAGCGGCATTTTGCGCGACATCATTCCCGACGGCGTATATCTCCTCGACTAACCAGCCGACCGACCGCCCTCTTGTGAACGTACAGGTTATATCAATACTAGCCTTGTCAACCCTACTCCCTTCTCTCTACGGTATCATCGCCTCCTCTCTTAGCTTCACATCAAACGGGACGATAAATAAATAGTTTTCATCCATGTATATTTTGATAAAAACTAAAACCGGTTTGTTTTGTATTCAATTCTGGGTATATCGATGTTCACACCAGGGGTGCATACAGAACAAACCTTTCTCTTTAATTGTTCGATTGGATTTATTATAATAGTCCTTGATGAAAACTTACAACAGCCTGCTTATACTTATATTGACCTGTGTGAGTGAGATTCCCCATCAGCGTGCTTCAATAGGTCTTTGTATTATCTGTTGCTAGGATATATATTCATAAATCGTGTTTACACATAACCTTTAAGCGGTGCGTTATAAAAACATTGGCAATAAAGCGCATGTGATTGTTGTCAGCGAGCCTGGGTTGAAAATCCAATGAAGCATTATCAACCATGAAATACTGTCAACAAGCAAACTGCTAAGGATATTGATAAACAAATGTTGTTTTGGTGTTTGTGGTCTATGCTATTTGTTCAATAGAAATTTGCCTCCCTGGCAATATCTATATGTTAGGAGGTTTGGGTTGTTTTTGTGTCACTGTCTATGCAACGTAAATCCAAGCGTATTTCTTTATGACGTCACCTTCGATTATTGTTTATCTTAGTCGGCGCCTTTTATCTCTTTTATACAAGCCTGTTATTGACCTACAAGATATCAAAGGGAACAGACAATACAACATTCTGATTGACGGAACAACTATATTAAAAATTGCTCCTGAGGCACTGACAATATTCAAGACCAGTGAAGAATTGGTCTTCATCAACCCATGCTTGTCGTAAGAAGCGACTAACGGGATCGGGTGGTCAGGATCGCTGACTTTGTTGACACGTGTCATCGGTTCCCAATTGCGTAAAGCGATGTTCATGCTGTTGATCACTGGATTGTCTGGTCCAGACTCGATTATTTACAGACCGCCGCCATATAGCTGGAATATTGCTGAATGCGGGCGCTAAACAACAACCAAACCAGGATATTCAAGCAAGAAAAGAGTGACAAAGTAGTGTCCCTTGGCGATCGATTCCAGTGGCCATGGGTAAAAGTGGCGCAAGAACCCACGCATATATTTCATTTGGACTGAGCAAAGTTTGGTGAGATATTCCTGGCGGTTGTGGGGCGGTGGGGTAACCTAGTGGTTAAGCGTTCGCTCGTCACGCCGAAGGCCCGGGTTCGATTCCCCACATAGGCACAATGTGTCAAGCCCATGTATCCCGTCGTGATATTGCTGGAATATTGCTAGAAGCGGCGTAAAACCCAAACTCACTCACTCACTAAAGCCTAGTTTCAGCATTTGCCATTTAACGCCGATTTGTCTTGGCACAATAGTGGCGCCATCCCGTGGTAACACGAGTTATGCTTCATGACAACGCGAAGACCAATCAAATCACTGTTCATATTTCAAATGGCTTCAAAAACAGCGAGCGACCTGGTAGATCCAAAAGCAAAAGGAGTTTAGATTTCAACCAAGGCAGACAAACAAGATAAAATAACAGTTTTAAAGGTAATTATTTCTGCTGTTTCACTCTTAAGCCCCATTCACAGTCACAAACTTTACTCATGTAAGTAAATCTGCACATGTGTAAATATACATACGTATGTAATAGTAAATTTACTTTGCGTTCACATTGAATTTATGTAGTGTGAGTAAACTTGAAAGTGTAAATAATAAATGTAGTAGATTGTCTCATTTTTTCTCTGAACTTCAACAGAGAAAGATGTTCTCTTATCACTGGCGCTTAAGAAGACCAACACAGTATCAGATATGTACTGCTCTTGCAATAGGTCTGTCAGATAGACCTTTCTGGAAGAAAGAAATACAGTCTGTTTGGTGGAACGACATGAATGAAACTAGTGACGACAAAGACTGGTACGATAATGTTCGAATGAACAAAGGGGTTTTCGATCTTTTCTGCACACAACTGAAGGATTACTTAAAAGCTAGTGACCAAGCTGTTCGACAACCTTTGATGTATTAATGAAAGTCAGAATATAGAACTATGGGAAATTTGTTTGGCGTTGGGAAGTCCACCGTTTGTAAATGCATTCATGAAGTTTGTCAGACCATATGTGATGTTTTGCTTCCGGAATATGTAACTTTTCCCCTAAATGAAGATGACATGACACAATTTACTCACAGTGCAAATTTGCACATGTGTAAATATACTTTGGCACCTGGTCCTGACCACATGTAAATTTGCTCCTAGTGTAAAGTTACATACATGAGTACATGCGTTCACATGACACATTTAAGTTTGCTCATGTGTGTATATACATAAGTGTGCAAACAGGTGCATGTGAACGGGGCTATACAATAATAGAAGCTTACGGACAACCCATTATCAGGCAACATTGAACATCAGAACATGAAACCGGCTGGTGGTCATGGTTGTCGGGTGGAGGATTGGGAAGTTGAGAAGTTTAAGTCTGTGTTTCATTCCTGGATGCATTGTGTGGAGCCGATTCTTGGTGTTCCCCGACCATGGTGCTGGTGAAGTACCGCGAAAACCCAACTCACCGGTTAACAGGTCCTTTAATATCTTTTCAACGCCAAACACATATACTGATTAATTAATATACACTCTTAAAAAACGCATATGTGATTTTGGGAATATTGGACTCATGTAGCTGCTATAAACACAGTACAAATATACTAGTTCTTTCATAAACGTCATCTTTGTGTGACTGTAAACAGCTTCAGCGCCAAAACGCGGCAATTTTAACTTTTCCCCTTGTTTTAGAAGAAATATTCGCCCAAACGTCACCAAGAAAACATGCAAAGCAAAATGCGCATGCAAGTAAGCGGGAAAACATGCGGTATGACCACTATCAAATGCCAAACGTTGTGTTGCAGTTTGTCGTTTTTGCCTAGAAAAGAGGAAATCACCATGCCACGACTGAGTACCAATCGAAACATCGCCATAGGCCGCCTTGAAGTTGGGGAGTCACAGTCTGAATCGGGGAGACGATTCTTGGCGTTCCCCGACCATGGTGCTGGTGCTCGAAAACCGAACACACTCACTGTAACACCTTATAACACATTTATATAGCAAATGACTCAACATTCCACAAGAAAACCTTATCCGAGCAACCATCAATATGTAAAGGTTTTGTTTATTGTCTGGAAATTTCTTGTCAGCACTCTTTGAAATGTTTAAAAAATATTTCCTCTGAGAGAAAGGAAACGCCTTGCTCATATTTCTGTCAGTTACAGAAACGCAGTTTAATCATTTACATACTGGCATTTCACATATACTATATCCGCTTTACAGGAAACGATGTAGATAAATTTGACTTTAGAAGGCTACTCATTGTATTACACTGACACAATGTTAATAATTAATATGCTAGAGTTAGGTATACCACTTAGTAAAACTATGGCAAACATCGTCAGTCAGGCATCGTGTGAATTATTAAGAGTCATTCTACACCGAACTTTCAGCATTGGAATGTTCAGAGCTGCAAAGTGACGTTTGAGACATTTTTATGTATATACTGAACCGCAAAAGAAACGTCACACGATAGAAGTTTTTTGAAGCACACACTATAATTAGCTCTAATTAACACTCAAAACGGAGGATTAAGTTCAAACCTGACACTTATCGTTAACACATTTAGAGTTCACACAAACACAATCACCAAAATGGTACCCTTAAGATACCTCAAAGTCGTGTGTTGCCTCCATGGCATCGATGACGGCGTTGCATCGCCTGTACGTGGAATGAATTAGCCGGTTGATGAAGGCCATAGGCACTTGGGTCCATACTCTGCGAAATGTCTGATCGAGTCCAGACGCAGCTGTAGGCCTTGAGTGGAGGTCATTCAGTCTTCTTTGAATCTCGTCCCAAAGGTGTTTTATTGGACTTAAATCCGGACTGAGTGCAGGCTATTGTAGGTTTGGATGCCATGTTGTCTTAGGAAGTCCAATGTTACCCTGGCAGTGTGGGCACGGGCGTTGTTTTGCTGGAAGATGTGATTTCTGTGACGTCCAAAATGTGGTACCACGTGGGGTCGTATGACTTCGTCAATACAGCGAGCAGCTGTCACGCCATTTCGTCGTCCTGGACCGAGATTCTGGAACACCACGGGACTAACTCTCTAGTTCAGACCGATTGCACCCCATAATAATAATAATAATAATAATGGAAATTTTTATAGCTCTAAATCCTACCACTAAGTGGGTGCTCAAAGCGCTACAAAATAACAATAATGTTTGAATAGAGTTAATAGTGCAATGAAAAGAGATGCGTTTTAAGATGTGACTTGAACGCAGCAATAGATGGGGACAGTTTTAAGGCTAGGGGCAGTTCATTCCACAGCGATGAAGCACAAACACTGAAAGAACGCTTTCCATAAGAGGCAAGTCAATAAGAAGGAGTTTTCAAAAAGAATCTGCTTTCAGATCGCACTTGTCTGGATGGTTTGTAGGGGGTTAGCAGTTCACTTAGATATTCTGGTGACATGCCTTTTAGACTCTTGAATGTGATACAGAGTACTTTAAACACTATCCTCGCCTCAACCGGAAGCCAGTGTAATGACTTCAGTATAGGCGTAATGTGAGAGTACTTTGGGGCACGTGTAACGATTCTTGCCGCTACATTTTGGACTTTTTGAAGTCTCCTCAGAGATTCTACCTGATGCCTAGAAGCAAACTGTTCGCATAGTCCAACCTCGAGAGTACCAAACACTGTACTAATGTCTTGGCTGCATCAAGTGATATCAGATAACGAATTTGACTGATACATCTGAGATGATAAAAACAGGTCTTGCACAAATTGTCAACTTGATAATCCATGGACAACTCGGAGTCAAAATAGACACCAAGGTTTTTTTACCCGGGATGAGAAGTCTACAACAGAGTTGCCAATCACAAGCTCTTGTCAGTTGACATCT